TTCCAGAAGCCCCACCCTCAGCGCTGGACGTGGGAGTCTCCCAATGGAGAGTACCATAACGAAATAGACCACCTCATAGTAAATAGGTTTTGCCTAACCGATGTCGCTGTTGTCCCAAAATTCAACACGGCATCAAACCATCGTCTCCTTCGTGCAAGATTCTATTTCTCGCGGAAAGGAGAAAAAGCCACTAAATTCCAAAACTGAACTCCCAGAACCATCGTAATCTGGGATTTATTCAATTCATTAGTCGGCTGTTCGGAAGACGCCGTTGTCGATAACATCGACGATGAATACGATCGGCTCATTCAACATCTTTACGCTAGCGCTATGAAAGCTCAGAGTTCGAAAGACACCAAGAAACGTCTGTCTCCAGAAACACTCGAACTGACACGCCAGCGTGGAATCGCACGAGCTGCAGGCAACCGCGAACTTGCAAAACAGTGCAGACAGGCGATAAAGGAAGATCTTAAAGAGAAAAGAGCAGCGGTGATGGTCGAAGTTGCAGATGCTGGGAAAAGCATTCGCAAAGCCCATCGAAGCTTCGCCGATTACAATGCTAAGATGGTTGCACTCCTACGCCCAAACGGAACAATTACAGCGCCCAGAAAGGCAATGGAAAAAATCATTCACGAATACTATTCAGATCTTTTCGATAGCCACGTCCACCTGCTATCATATGAAATAAAGGTGGATGGATATGTTGTACCACCCGGCTCTCCCTTCCCAAATCCGACATGCCATTTCGTTGGTGAAAAATCGAACAGCACCAGGTCCGGACAGGATAAGACCAGAACACCTGAAGAACCTTCTGCCAGTCTGCGTAAACATGCTGGCTCGGCTCTTCACACGTTACCTGTCTGAATGCAAGGTCCCTACTTAGTGGAAGACCAGCAAGACCGTGTTATTATTGTTCAAGAAGGGTGACCTGAACGATATCAGCAACAATCGCCCAATCTGCTTACTGTCTGTCGTCTACAAACTTTTCAATCGAGTCATCCTAAACAGGATTGACAGAACACTAAACGAAGGACAGCCGTGTGAGCAACCAGGGTTTCGAAGAGGATTTAGTACGATGGACCACATCCACACGGTAACACGGCTCATTGAAGTAACGCGAGAGTACAAAAGTCCGCTCTGTCTCACTAACATCGATTTACAGAAGGCCTTTGAGATGGAAGCAGTTTTGGAAGCCCTTGATAATCAAAGAGTCCCTACTTAGTACACAAAGATTCTTCGCGAGCTGTACAAAAATTTCACAACCAAGATATCACCATTCTACAACGATATTAACATTGACGTCATAACAGGAGTTAGGCAAAGCGATACCATCTCGTCAAAATTATTTACCCCCACCCTCCAGAACGTCATGCGAACATTGGAATGGGTTAATATGGGAGTGAAAATCGATGGCCAGCAGTTACATCATCTTCGCTTCGCCGATGACATCGTCCTTACAACATCAAACATTAGCCAAGTGGAATGTATGCTTGACGACTTTGATAAAGCCTATGGAAAGATTAGTCTTCGACTAAATCTCACAAAAACGATGTTCATGAAGGGCGGATTGGTTTCGCATGCCTCATTCACGCTCAACGGGACGAATTTCTCCGAATGCTCCAGTTATATCTATCTAGGTCGAGAAATCATTATGATGAACGATCTAGCTCCAGAGCTGAGCAGAAGAAAACGAGCGGTTTGAGGAGTTTCCAAGAGCATCGAGGATGTAGTGAAGAGAACAAAGAACACCCGACTCCGTGCCCACCTTTTCGACTCAACGGTACTTCCTGCCCTAACGAATGCGTCAGAAACCTGATCGCTGCGTAAACAGGATGAAAGATAAGCGTTATCGAACGCGCAGTCGAAAGGACGATGCTAGGAATATTCCGTTCCAAACAAGTAAGAGTTGGGATCCGAAGCTCCGATCTGCGTCAACAATCAAAAATCAAAGATGCCGTTCTGTACGCCAAACAGTCGAAGATAAGGTGGGCCGGACACGTAATGCGTATGAACGACAACCGATGGACAAGAGCCGTTAGTGACAGGATTGTTCAGGATGTCTAACGTACTGCAGGAAGACCACCGATCCTTCACAAGACCGGTCGGAGTTCTTCACAAATAGCCTTGAAGAAAGATATGATGCTTGACGAGTCCCTAGAGCGAGCAGAACCCACTGGGCTACTCTTGCACGCGACAGGGAAAAATGGAAGATTTACTGGCGCCCGATCGAGTCACTCGACGATCAGCGGGACTAGAGGTGATACAGGTGAACAATAATAGTAATACTGGTTGTTACAGCAGACGGATTGAAAAACGCCATCTTGTTCGTTAGGTCGTGTCCGTGACACAAGGAAGGTATCACATTATCCTCCCTTGCCCGTCTTCTTCATAACCAATCATAACAATGAATCCATTGAAAGACGAGGTTCAATCGACAGTGTCTCATATGATTGGAAACTTCAAAATTCAATCGTTGATTGGTAAAAGTCATACAAAATGATAAAACAGAATATTCATTGCGAAGTAAAAAGAAATATAATACGAATTACGTTAATACTGAGATGGGTCAGACATAAAAAAAGTAGGCAGAAGATGGTGACGAGAGGACGAGATAAACATAATCGTCCGAAGATAACTCGGATGCTTTTCACAATGGGAATGAAGCATAGTAAAATATAATAGTTTTTTTTACATGACCTGACAAAACGTAATGTACGTATCCTGGCGCTTCTTTCATTCGATTCGTCCCTTGTGCCCGACGTCCATGAAGCTCTTCAAGTTTGCGCATGGATTCGGCTGCCCTTGGAGGATTTTTGATCGCACTTTTTAATGCCGTTGAAGGCTGGTCAAGTCGATTCTATCTAATATCCTGAATAGCCGTGTTACGGCGTTCTCGAGTTTTCACCATATGCTCCTACCAACAACCTGTAGGGATTGGACCGCGTATCCCAGACAAGTATAGTGCCGATTTCCGTACTCCCGAAAGATGGGTAGTTGGATTGCACCAATACGGGATCGAAGCAGAGCAAGGGGAATATCACTGAAAGTGTTCACTCTCTACAATCCAAATGAAAACGCTCCAGCTCAGCTCTCTCAGGATTTCAGGGAAATTGTTTCCATCCGGCATTCAACGATATCCATGATGAAGGGAAAATCCTCGAGCAGCAGCCGTATCCACATGCAAAAATTGGAAGATCTCGGTAGATAACGCATTCGAGGAAACAAATCAAATGTAAAAACTCATAGTAATCGTACAGTAGATGTGAAAGACATGTCATGCAAAAATGGAATAAATAAATAAAAATAGGAATTGTTGAGAAACTAGAGACGTTCACTGTATGCTATCAGCCAAAAGTGGTGAACGAGTTCAGATGGTCCACGAGCGACCCAAAATTACACGTTGTTCAACCTGGCAGTCACGCGTTATTTAGCCTCGAACATATGTTTTGGTCCTTATTGCATAAATATTTAAGGACCTAACTACCAATTTCTTAACGAGTTCCTAATGAGCTGTGTGTGTATACGTGTATTGTGGCGCGTGTAGAGCAGTGGTCAGATGCGCCCTGCAATACACATAGGATCGGCCCGGTGCCCCAGGCTCACTAAGCCTTCCATCCCTCTGGGATCGGCGAAATGGTACCTGACCTGTCTGGGAGGACAGCAGCACTGGCTCGATACATCGGTAGGCCACAGCGAATCATTGTGAAGGCCAGATGTGCATTCATTCACGTCCAACAGGCTCTTAATGAAGTTGAATGCATGGGTTATCACTCAGGGATACCTTAATCAACGCCTTACCCTTTTTTTATCTGTGCATCCATGTTTATTTATGCGCTTTTGAACTATCAGCCAACTTGAGATCACTGTCAGTAGAACATGTACTGCTCAGCATAATAAGAAAGTAGTACGAACTATGCTCCTCCATCACATTTGCGGGCATCCTGGTTGGGGAGGGGGGATACGCAGTGAAGTGGCTATCGATCGAGCACGCGGCCGGCACACGTCCGTCCGTCGACGCTGGCTTTTTACTGCTCTTACTGCTTCTCATTTTGTTCTTGTAACGTTTTCCATAGCAAACCGTCCGTATTCATGTGCTGTTCTTCATATTCGAGTAGACCTTTTCAATAATTCATTGGTATCCTGATGCGTGAAATTGTGGATGTGAAATCTACTTGGAAACATCTCGTGTACATGCATCGTTAGACGACAACGTCTAATTTTCCTGAAAATTATATCCCACCTAGATTTAGCATTTAACTCTATGTGATAGTTAAATCCGTGATAAAAAATGTCGTTGGGCTTTGTACGATCTACATTCTGGATGGGTTTTGATCTTTCCCTTGTCTTAAAGGTCCCTTATCTCTAGAAGCATTAGGACCAGAGAACATTTCCGTGTGATAACTCAGGAGAAGCTTGGACGTGAGGTTAAGTGATGTGTCAGTCGTTGAGAAACGCTAATGGGCAGCAAAAAAAGCACCCGTCACCCCACTTGTGCCCATCTCACATCACCTTTTTTCTATAATCGTCTTTCTTTTATCGATTTTCGTGAGGAAATAACCGAGAGGCTTTACTCTGGAAGTCTTATTAGATGAAATATAAGGTTTTTCTTTGGCTTGTAGTGACTAAACGTGAAGCCTGTCAGTTTTAAATGACCTGGAGCCTCTCTTCTCATGAGTTTCCCATTCTCTTACTTTATGGGCTTAGGTTCGAATCGATACGTAGTGCTATATATAAGTATAGGCTTCCGCATCCACCTACATATATAATAATGTGGTTATTTCCCTATAGAGAACTCGATAGTGCCAATTTGGCAACCCAGAGACGTATAACTCGCTTGAGCTCATCCTAGTGTGTCATGTGCTCTCGCGGCCACTCGGCTCTAGACTACACACATTAGGAAGATCTGTTGTGAAAAACTAGTATGGAAAAATGAACACATGGTCTACTTGCTAGGTTTATTATGTCTGTTCTGTTATAATTTTCTATTTAGATGTGTTAGCATGGTCAACAACGACACTCAGGCTAATACGTTTATCCGTTCAGCTTCGGCACAAGGACTAGCTGGACTTTTCACGTGGGCTGCTCTTCTTATCACTAGTCACCAGGTTTCTGTTTAGTTCTGTTCATTCTATGCAAAGGTTTTATTCCTGCTTACCTGTGTTATTATGTCCATAATTCTCTTTATTAGTGATTATCGGACAAGTTTTCAGGTATAAAATTTTATCAATAATTCATTAATGAAGCCATGCACCTCCAACTGTATATTTTTGACACCGTTATCTCAATGCATTCATGAATAATTGCTGACGGCAGTGATCGATAGAACTAACCGAGAGACAGGCGAAACGAAGGACCCGCCTGGTGTGGTGGTGGACGCGTTAGCCCCCGGAAAGGGTAATAGCGCGTTCGTTCTCCATCGCGGACATCTGCAGTCTGGAGTTTTGCAAATATCTTAGCATCCTAGTGGTTGCATTTATGAGTGTTTAATGTTAGAGGTGTGAAAGTATGGTGGGATTAATTTTGATACAGCATCTTGGGAAGTTTTTATCGCAGCGGTCGGAGACGCCATGCGATACGCATGGGATCGATCCTGAGCCCAGGCCCACCAAGCGTTCCATCCCTCCAGGGTCGGCAAATTGGTACCAGAGTTGTCTGGGATAGCAGCACTGGCTGGATACATCGGTAGGTCACCACCAGTCATTGTAAAGGCGAGATATACATTCGACCACCTCCAACGACACGTAATGAAGTCGAATGCATGGCGCATCCCTCAGGGATTGATAAACGCTGAGAGCTCTATCATTTACAACGTATTGTAGCTTAAGGGGATCACATTTAAGTCTTCTCATTCGTTATTTGGAATAGGAGAAGGAAATGTGTCCTATTAGTTGACTATAAGCAGACCGCAGTGATCTAAGTAGTGTTGCTCTTATATGATGCAGACAAATATTCGTTGACACTGAGTGGATCAGAATTGCTATCACTTTGTTACACTACTAAGCAGTCGGATGTACATCTATTTCAAGACCCATTTTCACTGGCTATGCGGACCCTAATGTAATTTCAATTTATTCGAAGTTTTACTGGCTTAGCAGTTGTCGTCCCAAGGTCAGCCAGGCCAAAGTCTGCCCTAGGTCGTCATCACCACAAGTCGCCGCCGCCCTTGTGGATCAAGAGATTTCCCACCATGCGACTAGTCTGATATCAGGTTGGTGGTGGGTCCTAGTATTGGTTCACTCTTAACTGTGCTTCTTGACGGATGCGCCGGACTCCTTCGCAGCTTGGGAGGCTCTGCTAGAGAGATGAATCCTCCACCGTACATCACAGCTCGACACCGAAGAACGCCTCCCAGCCACGATGAGCTGGTAAACCGTTAGGAGGATTTCGTGTATACAGTTCAACCACATGTAACACGCTGTTTAACTGGTTCACTTGTAATGGCGATAATTATCGAGTCGACACCAGGAAAATTTTTTTCGTTTTGTTATGCGTTAAGTTGTTCACTGGGTTGGCATGTTAGAGGGGTGCAGAGAGCATTGCACTATTCGTATAAGGCCGCTCGTTTTTAATTTTAACGACTGATGATCGGGATGTTGGGTGTTGAGTTCCCATATGCAGCATGGTGCTCATGCCTTAGTTGGCTCACTCGAGCTAGTCAGCAACGCAAATTTGTTATCTAGGGACCTAACTAGCACCCAAGCTAGTAGTGATGAACTTTTATGCGTTATTTTTCACTCCTAAAATTTTTGCGTATTTAAGTAAGTACCACTGCTGTGATGAAATGGAGTTAATGTCAGCGAGGAGATTGTGAGGAGTATTGTGTGGTATGACAGATTTCTCTGTGACCCACAAGGGTGGGGTTTACTTGTGATGGTGACGACCTGGGGCAAGCTTGGCTAGGTTGACCTCAGGACTCCAGAGAACCACAATGCCTAGATCAGCAAAACTCCAAAAAATGTCATATGTGCTGGGGACCGCATATGCATGCATAGTCGCAGGTTGAAATGAACAAGTTGTTCTGCTATGAAGTTCGTAAATATGGTTGTTTTTCGTTATCATGTGTAGAGGCATTTTTATTACAGATCTACCAACATCTTCGTTGGTATTCTTGCCCTACAGAACAGAGATGGATTGTTCGGATACTGTTCATTGTACCAATTTATGCATTTGATTCATGGCTGAGTCTAATATTCTTCTCTGACAACGTGTACATTTACTTTAATTCTATTAGAGACTGTTACGAAGGTTTATTTTTCCTTCTTCTGATTTTTATTAGAGTTTACCCAGAGGCACCGCAAACACCAAACAAACAAAAACCGGAGTTTTGCAAATAGTTCAGCATTATTTATCCAAAGAATCAAAAAAAGTTCCTCATTGAGGTTTGAGGTATGAGTCGATTGTTATAGCTATATGCTTCTTCAAACTATGTTTGAAAAATACACGTCAGGGATTTCTTTGGTGTTTCAGCTTTCGTGATATACTCTTTCTTATCGCTGTGTTATGAATATCTTGGCGGAGAGAGCAACATTATGGCTGAGATTCGTGGAAAACCTATCAAGTAAGTGGTCCAACCTGTTGGTTTTTAACGAGAAAAAAATGTTCATGTTATCATATTAGCTCAATTTAGACCTACAAACTACTACACCTGTACTTGCTGCCTCGCTGGAAAGCAGTATACCATTGAGTTTCTTCGATTTTGCAAACAGGTAGGTTTTGCTATTCTATTATGGGACTTTTTCCTTCCAATTCCAAACAATTAAATCCGTTGCGCTTAGTATTTGGTCCAAAATCTTTCATTTTAAGTGATTTGTCATTTCATAGGCGTTCTCTTTTAAGTTATTACGTTATTACAAGGTTTTTCTTTACTTGCGTCTTAAAATTGGGTTCAGGATGACGCGTTCGTTCTGAAATCATGTTTCTGGTAAAATTGAGTAGGAATATTTTATGCTAAACGGAAGTGGAGAACAGGATTGAAGTCAAAAAAAAAATCCACTGAAAATACATGAGAATTAGGAGCATTGTAGTTACAAGAGAAATTTGATTTTAATTTCTCATTTTTTGTCTTCATGATAACCAATAGACATTCTGCGGTAGAAATAGGTGGTATTGCACCAAATATCTCCAGAAATGGCTTTATTTTTTTTTTTGTCAAACCCAGCTGTTGGGCGCGTTTGACGCAGTGGTCGGAGGCGCCCCGCGACACACACACAGACACACACGGGATCGATCCGCACGCCATGACTCCGTAAGCCTTCCATCCTTTCGGAGTCGGCAGATCGACAGCAGACTTGTCTGGGAGGATAGCAGCACTGGCGCGATGCATTGGTAGGCCATCGCAAGTCATTGTAAAGGCCAGATATGCATTCAATCACCTGCAACGTTGCTTAATCAAGTCGAATGCATGGCGCATCCTTCAGGGATTGATCAACACCGAGAGCTTTGTCTATCATCCTTTATCGTTTTTACTTTACTGTTATGTTCCAAAATGTTAACGTTGAGCTATAAATGCTTTCTACTGCATAATGGTCTCCGTTTTTTAAGGCTACTCTTCAATTCTGTTTCATAAAACCAGTCATGGCAGTAATTACATTGTTCCTTACTGGGATGGGAAAATATGAGGACGGCAATTGGAGGTGAGTAATTCATTCACTTTGTGAGTGATCACGATTTGGTTGGAGTTCATTGGGAACTCTTTTCCGTATATTACGGTCGTTACAAAGCCTCCGATTTTTTTAAGCGCAGATCAAGGCTATCTATATATTACCCTGGTTTACAACGTCTCCATATCTCTTGCACTGTATGGGTTGTTCCTTTTTTATACAGCAACTCGTGAACTTCTGAGCCCGTACAATCCTGTCCTAAAATTCCTCACTGTCAAGAGTGTCATTTTCCTTTCATTCTGGCAAGGTAAATTTTTTTAGTTCTTCATTCGCATCTCGATTAACAGAAAAATATTTTTTCTAACAACAAGCCTTTGTGGGATTTCTTACATCAAACTAGTCACTGATATATGTATATATAGGAATAAGCAGTTTTCTTATAGGATTTCTTATTGCGATTCTTGGTGCTACGTCGGCTATAGACCCTGTTGTGGATTCTAGTGGAAACGTTGTTATCGGAAAAGGTCGTTTCAATTTCTTTTTCAAACTACTTATTCATTTCGAACTTGGTTGCCTTTATATACGCCTTGCCTTGGATTGTGTCACCTTATCAAGCCACTTTTCCTATGGATATGGTGAGTGGTTTATAAAAAAAGTTGTAGGAGGGTTTTCTCCAGCGGAGATATTAGAGTCCGGGAGAGGGATTGTGGAACAGAAAAGATTGGTGTGGAACGTTTCCGTTATCAATTCCATGTCATTGCGAAAAGTTTTGTTGATCCCATCTTCGTTCATCGGGGCTGACATCGGAACATTATACTGGCATAGACCCCGACTGTATTTCTTCAGATTGGTTCTTTTTTATGCCTTTTCTAATGGTTGCTTCTGCCGGTACCGATGTAGATCTTCGCCCAGAGCTCTTTTGCTGCTAGAATTTATGACTAGCCGTTTTAAGAGTGCCTTCTCGACTAACTCTTTAGTGGTAATGAAGATGCGATCTGATCTACTTTGTGGAACCGAGGCGAACTTGGCAGAACTTTTAAGGCAAGTCCTTCAGAAAGCAGCTCATAGTCTTCGATTGGGTCCACCGTAATCTGCCGGACACGTTTGGATAAAATTTCATCCAGAGTGTTCTCATCATTTAGGACTGGAGTTTTTCTTCTTGGTTTATTGTATGAGCTTTTTTCTATCTTACCGGTGAATCGAATTCTTGTGCTATGAAGACGGCTATCGAACCCAATACAGAATGGCGGTACTACTGATGTGTCACATAGGCACCATCTTCTGTTTTGGAGAATATTTTTTAACTCTGCATGAGTCGTGCCGTTAGGAGATCCCGATGAGCAGCGGTGACTGTCCATCTTGTGGAAAATCGAGGTTTCATGGAAGAGGCGTGCTGCTACAGGACCGTTTCCATTTTCGTTTCGTCCTCCTAATCCAGATTTTCCCATCATGTATTTCGTCACATTGGCCTTTCATTTCCTGGCATTGAAGTTTCTTACAACAAATTTTTAATAGATTGATCGTTGTGGATAACTTCCTTGAGCTAATACTAGAGCGTATCTATTTCATGCTCATTAGCTGCATTGGTCGGTGAATAAAAATTGGTGGTAGTGATTTTCTTATTATGAATTGGTTGAAAACGGACCATGGCTACGTAAGGGAGTGTTGTAGTATTATACGTACAAAGTCTCCATGGCAGGTCGCCTCATCGCCTGACGTCATAGACGGAAGCACCTAACGTGTGGGGCACTAAGTCTGGCCTTTTGCTGCTTAAGCAGTTTGATCTTTCGTGGAGTCCTAACTTGAGTTTATAGGGGCGTTTTCAGGTCTTAACCACGATTTGGATTCGAGCTAAGTGTACTTTAGGCGACGATTCCTTCGCTCGTTCTTCCTGCTATGTTTCGGACACGTTGTTAAAATAAAAATCAAAAATATAACTAGGAATGAAAAAGTGACTGACCATGCAAGCTGGGTGTTGAAACCGAACCCTCAAACAGCAATATATTACACAAATCCCACGACCGCTTTCTTTTAACTTCGAGATTGATCAGTAAATCCACTGTTTCTCTTGGTGAGAAAACACGACGTTATCACAGCGTTTATTAACACAATAGCTGATGTTTCGATGGTTTCGCCCTCTTCAGTGCCTGGAGAAGTTAAATTGACAGGCAATCTATTGAACCAAACGCTTTCATAACTTCAGATGAAAAAATTTAACCCATACTCTTCTTTAGCATGAAATTTATTTGCTATGTTTTGTCGATTGAGGTTACGAAAGTGTTAGGCTGAGTAGAATGCCAGTCAATTTGACCCCGCCAGGCTCTGAAGAAGGCTAAACCGTCGAAATCTCAGCTGTTGTATGTGAATAAATGCTGCAATAACAGCCTCATGCTCATAAAGAAAAACAGCGAATTGATGTATTAAAAATCCCTTTTGTTGTTAAGACGATGAAGATTTTTTATTGGAAATCGGGGAAGTTATGATGCTGCTATTATTTGCTTTTCGCGTATGTACGTTTTGAACAGCTTTGGAAGCAAGATTTTTGCTTTTGATCGTCGTCGCCATTGACCGATATAGGTGGTTTTTTTTAGTGGAGTTTGCTATCCTTTCGCACCCATGTCATACTTGTCCTTAACTGACATGAAAGCAAAACTGTTCCAAAAATTGTGCTCAGAAACCAAGTGAATGTTGTTAAATAAATCATTAAGTCAGATTAAACGCTTCACCGTTATGAATCGATTACTGGAGCTTGTGAATGGGATGACTTCCGGAGTATCATTTTATGGCAGTTTCTTATATCCTTGCACCAGTTTTAGTCCAGTTTTTAAGGAGTAAATAACTTGTCCGCTTTGGTAGTGGTTGAATTATAGGAACTTTGGCTGCTGGATATCAGAATTTCCTCATTTGCGTTGAGATGTTCTTCGCCGCGATTGCCCTCAAGTTTGCTTTCGCGGTTTCTGTGTACGCGGATGCTCATACGGGTGGGTTGTATTTGTGTGGAGTATTTATACATATATATATATATATATATATACTCGTATATATACATATATTCATCCATGTGTATTTATGTACATGCACATCTATAGGAAGAAGCAGGTAGATAGGTGTGAGCATGTATGGTACAGCTTAAACGACAACTTTGTTGGGTACTGATGGGTTTAGTCCTTGTCAAACTAATAGCACTTGTGTAGTCCAACTACATTAGGCTATGCGAGCGTGTTCGTTCGTAGGTCGTTTGACGATTAATTTGATTAAACATTTGGTTGAGGAACAAAGTATTCCTTCCCTATTAAGATCTCTCGGTATCATATAGATTAAATTATAAGTCGCATTACATATTGGGTGCTTCTGCCTTATGATATAGTTGTTTCTTTGTGCACTTTGCTGTAATTTTACTTTGTTAAGGTGATATAATACTAATGAAAAAAATCCATTGACTAACCTAGCTGTATTAGGTGTGAGAACTGTTCGGAAAACTGTAATGTCTCAAAAGTCTGGCACTTTTTGTTTTCTTCTATTTATACATGGGTATTGCTTGATTGTTTATTTTGAACTTTATCGTTGTTAAGATTCGTAAATGGCATGTAAATCTAGCGTTTCTTCTGAATGGGATTGGTCAGCAGTGTTCTTTTATGTTTCATTTCTGTTTTCAGTTTTTTTTTCTTTCAATGAAGTGTGAAATCACAACCATTAGGCATTTAGTTAGTCATTCGAACGATGGGCGTCCCGTGACCCTCCAGTCCATCAGTTCATCGTTGAAGGAAACCATGAATCCAAAGGACATAATGCAAGATGCTATTCACAACTTCCATCCTCAATATCAGCAGTATACACAGGTTTGACCTAACAATCTTCTGAATCACTTGAACGTTAGAAATAGGAGCTCACCAATAATTCAAGAGTATCGTCTATTTTATCAAGATGTTTTATTATGAAGCCACTAGGTTGATTTGGCAGCTACTGTTTTAGATAAGGTAGCGCCCTACTCTGAACGCATATCTGCTTGAAAACTATGATGGTCTGGTGCCCATGTGACGATTAGAATCACACTTTTAACTTTGAGTTCATCCTCGGTAACGTGCCGTAGGGGTAGGCTAGCGCAATGGTTGTGATGCCGATGATCACGAACACGGTTCTAGTTCGAATCCGCACTGAGCTCACAATGCCTCTCATCACTCCGAGGTCAGGAATTTGGTGCCAGACTCGTCTGTGGAAGGTCATTCTCTTCAATCCAATATGGGAACGCTCTCGACCAGTTATCTGAATGCATCAGGGAGAATCTATTCGATAATCACTCAACCACATTCATGGCAAAAGGGAAACTCTCAAGCCGCAGCTGAACGCACACGCCAAAATTAGAAGACCTTATTGGGTGATGGATGCGAGGAGACGAATCGAATGGGGGAAGTGCTGGCATTCGCACAGTAGACAAGACCCAGTAGGACGGATTGAGTAAAAAAAAAGTAGCGCTGTATTTATTCAAATTGTGCCCAATACCGTTTGTAGCGCATGTGTAATCGAGGAGAGATTAGCGAGTTTTGAACGAAAAATTTGGAATCCTTTAACCTTGCACAAGCACAACTTCATTATCAATTTGAGAACTATTATTACCTACCTTTTTTGGCCAACATGAAAGGGTTTTTTATTTCGGTAGCTTATAATTTGAAGTTCTTGAAACAGCGATTTGGTCGAAGAGATTGGTGGCTTTGTTGATGAACATTTTCTCATCAAAAGTTGGTGAGCTATATGAAGAAATTGAGAGTAAGGTCGACAATAAGTCTCGTGAATACGGTGAATGAGGTAGAGTTTTGGAACTTCATCAAATCAGCGTATGAAACAATAGTTGTGTAATGTGTGCCCCAACCTTGTGGCATGAGACAATCGACTGAACGTTTTCTGCTAATCAATGCAGAATACATGCGCTATAATTTTTGATGCGAAGCTTTCGATTTTGTAATAGTGCTTCCCTTCTACGGTGGTTTAGCCAAATATCAGACAGTTGTGGTTGATCATTCTAGCTGCAGTTTTTTGGAAATTGTTTTGAAGCGCCATACCGCTTCACCTACTGCGGTGAACCCCGCTGCTTTTCGTGGCCAATGCGGTCGTCGAATCGATATTAGGAAGGAAATCTTGTTTTGTTATGTTGAATGAGAAGCGAACATGAAGGAGTACAAGCTATGTCTTTTGCTTGGCGATTAATTGTTCGAATATTTTCCTTCCTTTGTCAGTTCGGTTTTTTCGCATGTTTATGGGATCTGGACCATTTCTTTGGTGCATAGGCTTTTTTACTCTTTATTATGTGGAGTCATGAAAACTATTCGATTTCCTGCTATAGATAAACACATCTGTTATTTCTCTCATATGTTCAGTAATAGCGTGCTAACTTAAATTGAAACTGTACGCCTATTTGATACAGTTTTAATGGTTTGATGTTACGTTGGATGTCTCTGTATGGCTGGGATCTGAGATCTCTTTGCCATTCCATATGGGAACGTATTATAAGTACCATTCATATTGCTCTGGCGGTGAAAGTAGTGCATTCGATCGTCATTCCTTCCGACACTGGCTTCGTTTTCCCTTTATGTATGCTTGCATTACGTTCAGAAAAATTTGAGACTTTCAGCAACACGGTGTTTCTAGAAGACAATTACTTCTGCTTAGTGCAGATATTATGGTAGACATTGTGGAATTGAATTTTATATTATTGGTCATTATCAGATTCAAGATTTCTGTGGGCCTTTTATGTGGCCTGAGTTGTAGTATGCTGGATATGAGAAGTACTGAGCAACCTGCCACCATCAGCGAAAATTTTGCATGCGATGAAAAGTTTCTTAAAGAAATATCTCTTATCACTTAAAAACTCACAAATCCGTCTTTTTACTTGGCTGTTCCTACTAATCTTTGCACATTTTTCAGCACTCAAACTCAAACTCACAGCGCTCGGTCAGTGGCAACCTGGTGGCAGGTTTTTGATTTTTTTTTTTCGACAATTATGAACAACTATCAATTTCTTGTCACATTTCTGACGGTGCTGCCTCTTCGACAGCTAGAATGCTTGAACACATGAAATAGCTGTGGAAGATTGTCTTGTTGTGAGGTTATACATAATTTTTCTAAAGATTGGTTTTGTACATTTCGTTATATATACGTATATATATATATACATTATAGCATATATATATATGCATATATATTTATTTGTGCTGCTTCGATTTTTGTCTGAGAAATTAATATTTTGAGATACCATCCTGTGCCGTTTATTCAATCGCTCTGTTGATCAACGTACGAGCTCTAATAAGAAAAAAGTATGAAACAATATTTCCTTGTTAACCGATTGCTGCGGTATGTTTAATAAGTCAGTGTTTTATATTCGAGTAGACTCGACGTTGTTTATGACAAAATTTATTCACTGGCTGACGTTTCGATAGTTTCTCCTTGGGTTTGAGAGGTTTGATGGACCAAACGGACCACGCAATCCACCCGGCCTAACACTTTCATAACCTAAGCAGAAAAATTCAATACATAAGTTTCGTTTGCGTTGTGAACAGCTTCATGAAAACAAAAGTTGCATAATTTGCCCTAGTAGTAGTGACGGCGATTGCATCAGTTCGGGTACGGTCTATCTTATTTCTTGTACAACTTATGGGACGAATACGTTGGCGAAACGGGTCGAATGTCCTGCATCCGTGTAAAAGAGCACCTAGTTGGTAAACTTGAACTCATAGAAAACTTCATAAGGCACGCTTATAAAAGTCATTGTCTTTGGAATCGAAGACACCAGCGCATGAGACTCTTGAAGTATTTTGGATCAATTCCAAGCGTCCAAAATGAATCGCACTGGGAAGTCTCTTGTTATCACTCGTGACTTTCGAGCCATACATTGAACTGATTTTTTCACCTGAACCAGGCAACATCCTTACTCATGTGGAACTCTGTAAATCTGGTCTCCAAAAAGCAAGATTTATTAAGAAGAAAACGGTAAGTGTTTAAAAGAATCTCTTTACTATGTGAATGAAAGTTTATACAGTAAGTTTAATCTACTAAGGCTGTAAAGGTTTTTCACACTGGCAAAGAACTTATAAATCTAACTTTTCCAAGGAACACGAAAGTCAAGAAACCGCCGAAACGTCAGCGGTTATTGAATAAATCTCTTTATTGATAATCCTGTGTTCTGCGCAAGAGTAAAACACTGACTTATTGAACAATACTGAGGTTAACAGAAAGTGGGTCCTGATCATATCTATGAGATGTGCCTATGTAAATTTGAAAAATAGACTACTTACGGTTATGCATTGAAGCGATTGATGTCGTGGCGAACTTGTAATAGGTGGAATGAAATGTAGCAGGACGTTTTACGAAATGCTGGCATCGCTTGCTTGTTAGTGTAATGTTTCATGAGTTTTTGAATTCAGTTTTAATACGTATGAAATGCTGAGATATTTGCGAAACTCCGGACCACAGGTGTATGCAGTGGGGAACGAACACGCGCTGTTGTCCTTACCGGGGAGCTGTCTCATCTCAGCATTTCATACGAGTTATAATTCGAAACATACCCTGCCATTAAGAAGAAAAAGGCAGTAAATAAAAGAGTTAACATTCAGTTTTAATAGTTTCTTATCTTGTTTTGTTTCTTCACTAATCTTCAGTACTTACTTAATTTACTGGTTGCTATGAATAAAGCCGCTGCATTTCTAACCGTCTACTTTTGTCGGTGCGACTTCACCTTTCTTTTTCGTATTATTATAGTTTTAATATAGTCGAGTATACTCGATATAAACTTTGCTAATGAACTTACTTTAAAGAAAATAAATCGGATCCTTTTATAGGTAATGTAATCTAGGTCTGTTTTAATTTTCACCACAGCTGGAATAACAGACAATAGAAGAAAGAAGAGTCTCGTACGTTGTTGTTCACTGGGAATCGCTCAAATCTGTTTAGTCTGTTTCTCAAATTTCTCTTTGTTTACAGAAAATATGAAGATTGGAGTCAATAAGGTGTAGAATCAACCACCGTCTGCACCCACTTGAGCGTCAGGTTTTGAGGACTAATAACTATTCTGTAGAATAAGACGTCTATATACGCTCCCAAAATCACTCTAGCATCTTGAGTTATGTATTTGATTGGATGCTTATAAGCAAACGTTTGGTACTAATCTGTTTCTATGGTGATCCTCCTACCTTGCATATCTAAGTAGTTTTTTGCACAATTTTTCGCCTTCATTCCTATTTTGAGGCCAATTTTCATCACTTTCGGTTTATGCCGGCTAGATGAACTCCACTTTAAGCGGTGGTTTGTTTTGATTATATTCTTGGCTTCTGTTGAATCAAATGAAAATTGAACAAAGAAAAGCAGCTGTCATAGAGAACTACTAATTTACTGTTCGCTTCAATATAAATTTCAATTTTCATCACAACACACACTTCTTAGACTACACTGGTTTCGGATTTTTTCCGTGCTATTGTGGTATACTGAAAAGCGAGTTTTCATAAAATTAATACAGTTTTAGGAATTTTTTTCGTTTCTACCGATTTAGCCTTATAAATACTTCATGCCTCCTTTTAAGAAACCGAGTTTTTGCTCTACGGTTCTTCTCTCATATTTCTTAAATTAGTCCTGCACTTGCATTAAGATTATGCAATAAGAGTAACTGATTTTGAATGGCAACAATGAAATGGTTGAGTTGAATAACGAAGCATCGTAACTTCAGCGCAATCGTCTTAATCAAGATAAGAGCCTTATCTTTCGATATGCTAACAAATAGTGAAGTTCTGAACGTTATGGATTGTTTAGAATAACTTACAGCTGTGAAAAAGTATTTTTTTTTAGCATTAGGTCAGTTCAGAGAGCCTAGATGAGACCGGTTTCATAGCCCATTTCTTTGAACTTCTCGAGCATTAGCTGTGCTACAGGTTTAGCGTTGTCGTGCGCGAGAACTAAATCTTTTTTTTTAGTGACCAAATGTGAATAGTTACGTTTTTTTTACCATATTTATAAGTTTGAACCCATGAAGGAAAATGCTGCGAATTTCTTTGTTTCAGTGCATCTTGGCAATTAGCGTAAAACTGTTGCAAAATGTTAGCAGAAGTAATTTCTGGCAGCGTAAGAAGAGAATGGTTATGGTGGCCACCGTATTTTCTTCTTCTTCATGAACAAATGCCACAGTTTTTTGGAATGATCTTATTATTAGCGTAATGTTGTCATTATAACCTTATAAATCCATATATTTGGTAGTATCAGTTTATGGGAATAGTTTTTAGGAACAAAATAAAACAAAACAGGGAAGGAGTCAAATGGGTTCTAGTTATCAATTTTTGGTTGCATACAGCGATATTTAGGTGCCAGGACCGAATACTAATCAA